ATTTTATCCCGTATAACAGGACCTGTGCCGTCAGAACGCGTGTGGTCAGATAACTGGCCCCACATACATGGATTACAATTAGCCGACCCTGAATATTCCGAGACGCTACCGATTGACGTTTTGCTCGGTGCTGATATTTTCCCGCACCTTTTCCTAGGTGATAAAAAGGAAGGTATCGCGGGACAACCGATTGCCATGTCTACGGTCTTTGGGTGGGTGCTCATGGGAAAAACGTCTAGTACACCAGACAGGAACATAGTCACTATGTGCTCAACCATGGATTCAGTAGACCGAACATTACAGCGTTTTCTAGAAAACGAAGACGTTCCAACCGTAGAGAAATCTAGTCAGGCTGACTTGGAATGCGAACGAATATATCAATCAACCACAACGCGTCAATCGGATGGGCGTTATATAGTGCACTTACCATTTCAGCAAGACCCACCACTTCTCGGGAAATCGAAAGACGTGGCATTGCGTCGGTTAGAACAGTTGGAAAATCGGTTCAAACGGTTTCCTGAGCTCCGTGACGAGTACCACAACGCAATGAAAGACTATCTGGACTTGGGTCATATGTCTCAAATAAAAGTGCCATCAGTCGATGAACAGACGGGTGCGTATTATATTCCCCATCAGGCGGTGATGCGTCCGGAGAGTACAACTACGAGAATGCGTGTTGTTTTTGACGCTTCGGCAAAGTCTTCTTCAGGACTATCTTTAAACGATAACCTTTGGTGTGGAGAAAAACTACAACAGGAATTACCAAGCATAGTCCTACGTTTCAGACTACATCCCGTTGTATTTACTGCTGACGTAAAGCAAATGTTCCGTCAAATAAAAGTGACCGAAGCTCACCGGCCATACCAACGTTTACTATACCGTTTCACGCAAAATGAACCGATTCAGGAGTACGAAATGAATACGGTGATGTTTGGTCAGAAATCCTCGCCGTTCCTAGCTATACGGACTCTACATAAGTTGGCAGAGGATGAAGCCGCTAACATGCCCACCGTGCGAGAGGTCGTACAGCATGACTTATATGTGGATGATGTGGCGACAGGAGCAAAAACCGAAGAACTGGCAATGGAACTTCAAAAAAACCTCGTGGAAGTTTTCGCAAAAGGCCAATTCGAATTCAGGAAATGGTCAAGTAACTCAGAAAAATTACTGGCTTCTATTCCTGTTGACCATAGGTATACACAACCGGTTACACTCATCGAGCAAGAGTCTGAGCAAACAAAGGTACTTGGTTTAAACTGGGACCCAAAAGCTGATGTACTTAGTTACAAATATCAACCCAATCCTGTGAAATATAGTAAACGAGCTATACTTTCCGAAGTTGCGCGCATTTACGATCCTCTTGGGCTGTTAACACCAGTTACCACAGACCTCAAGAGACTCATGAAATATCTCTGGTTGGTAGAAGTCGGTTGGGATGAACCCATCCCGGAAGAAGCGGCGACAGCGTGGAACAAATATCATCAGGAATTGCCCGTGTTGGCCACGTTAAAAATTCCTCGTCTTGTCACACATACTCGTGCGTCGTATGAGTTGCACGGATTTAGCGACAGCTCAGAGGCAGCGTACGCAGCAGCCGTATACATACGTGTAACTTCAGAAAGCCAAACCAATTGCCACCTTCTGATGGGAAAGTCGAAGATAGCCCCATCTTCAAAGGTTTCTGTCCCACGGTTGGAGCTGTGCGGCGCGTGGCTACTTGCTCGTCTCATCAATTACGTTCAGCAGCACCTCGAAATGCTAAGGATACCAAATGTTACTGCTTGGACGGATTCCACGGTAGCATTATCTTGGATTCGGACACCGACGGTACGGCTAAAGACGTTTGTAGCAAATCGTGTGGCAAAAATACAACAGCTAACCGACACGAAAATCTGGCGCCATATTCCAACCCGTGACAACCCCGCCGATTGTGCGTCCCGAGGACTTGGGCCTAACGATCTAGCTACACATGAGTTATGGTGGAAGGGTCCCACATTCCTACGCCAACCTGAGAACACTTGGCCTGTGGAGGGAACAAGGTGTCCCGCTAGTTGTCCGGAGGAAGAAGTTGAGCAGAAGCGGATCACCCTACTCACCCAAGTTGTCGACGATGAATGCCGTGTACTGCGGCAATCAGATAACTTATCCAAAGTGCTAAGACTCACAGCGTACCTGCTGAGGATAGTTGACCGGCTAAGAAAGAAAACCATTCCACATTGGACGTCGCCACCGACAACAGAGGAGACCGACAGAGCGCTACGGTCCTTGATACGTTGGACACAACAGGCTTTCTTTGAAGACGTCAAAAAGGCTCTTAGTGCCGGTAAAAGCGGCCCGGTTCATCTGCGAAGGCTCGCCCCCTTCTTGGACAACGAGGATCTTCTCAGGGTGGGAGGTCGCTTAGAGCATGCACTTATACCATACACTGAAAAACATCCTCTTCTCTTACCAAAAAATGCTCGATTGACCGAGCTATTAATCGATCACGTCCACCGTACCAAAGGTCACCCTGGACCACAAACGATGCAAAATCTATTACGCCAGAACTACTGGATACTTTCGTCTCGTAGTATTATTAAAAAGAGAGTACACAGATGCGTGCCATGTTTTCGTGCGAAGCCTCGCCCAGTACAGCCATTTATGGGCAATCTACCTCAGTTCCGTCTAAATCAAATAAAGCCATTCAGTAAGGTCGGCGTGGATTTTGCGGGCCCTTTTGACGTGAAAGCAGCCATGATACGTAAGATCAAAATAACCAAAGCCTATATATGTATATTCGTCTGTCTGGTCACTACCGCAGTTCATATCGAACTCGTTTCCGATTTATCGACCCCTCTTTTCATCGCTGGTCTGAACCGCTTCATCAGCCGGAGGGGCCGATGCACGGATATCTACAGTGACTGTGGTACCAATTTCGTGGGAACCCATCGGTACTTAACGGAGGTAGAGGCTATCATCCAGGGTGCTGATTTTAACAACAACGTTCTTGAACATCAAATTCGATGGCATTTTAACCCACCCTCGGCGCCACACATGGGAGGAATATGGGAGGCTGCCGTAAAGTCGACAAAGTCACTTTTACACCGTGTAATCCAGAACACCGTTCTTACATACGAAGAACTTAATACAGTACTCCACCAAGTGGAAGCTACACTAAACTCAAGACCCTTAAGTGCTATGTCATCGGATCCAAGCGACTACAGGACCCTCACAGCGGGTCACTTCTTGACCCTGGAACCACTTGTAACGATCCCGAGCCCCAAGGATGTCGCAGATTTGGTTACAATGAGCTCCCACAAACGATGGTCACTGATCCAACAGATTCAATATCATTTCTGGACCCGGTGGAAAAATGAGTATTTGCATACTTTACAGGAGAGACCTAAGTGGACTCGTCCCGACAAGAACCTGCAACTCGATGATCTTGTCATCATCAAAGAACCGACTCCTCCGCTCAAATGGAGTACCGCAAGAGTTATCGAAGTACATCCCGGAGACGACGGCATTGTGCGAGTGGCCAAAGTAAAAACTTCAACCGGAAAAGTTCTTACCCGCCCTGCGGTAAAACTATGCCCAATGCCCTTGAGAGATTGAAGCCGAGTACCTTCAAGGTGGGCGGTATGTTTGGTAGTTACGTAAGCAACACCAACACTGCGATAAGCAGATGCCGCCTTCCCGCTACTCTCGGTAACCGGATCAGTTCGTGCCCGCACCTAGCCGTTGCCAGTGTCACGCGACGTGAATGTTGTCGTTGGTTTTTTGTTGTTTTTACCATGTTGTTTTTTATTGTGCGCTGTGCCTCGTAAAACCTGTCACTGTCCTACCCATCACCGTCGAAGTCACCGTCCTACCAATCACCGTCGAGGTCACCGTCTTACCCATCACCGTCGAAGCCACCGTCACCGAGGTCAACGCGTCACCACCGGCATTGGCTGCGTACGTCTTTATTCTAAAACTTTATTATAATTTGTTGTGTTATTTTTATTCGTCATCCCCGACGAATCCCCCAGATTGGCCAGTCCCTGTGTAACCCTTTACTTATACCTAAATTTGTTTGTTTTGAATTTTTAAAAAATAGTAGTCCGCCGTTCACGGCAAAAATCAAAATACAGTTGTTACCATTTATTTAAACAATACAGTCCACTAACCCAAACTGAGCTAACAATAATATTATATTATTACCTATATATAACTCGGGCATCGGAATAACGATGCTTGGATAAACGGATAGTGTTGCTAACATCAGTTCAGTTGTTATCATAGATTATAGGCACGGCTAAAGCCAAGGTTTATAGATAATAGAGGTTGCCTCAAAGTGATGTAAACAAATCAAAACCCACCGCTCCGTCCCCTATCAAGTGACGTCACCCGTCGTACAACATTTAGCGGCTATTTAGTGTTTGTATGACACGTAGACGTAGTACAAGTTTATAATTATTAATAAAGTATTAATAATTATATAGTATTTGTATTATTTTTACTGTTTTTTGATACAATATTTGTATATTAATATTCTTTTCTAATTCCCCGTTCTATGTTTATAAAACATATTTCTTTTAAAATTATCTTAGATTGAAAATCAATTATATGAAAATGAATAATGGCATATTGCCAAAAAGCAATCTAATTAGCTCTAGTTTACTATGCAAAGTACCTATTATAATACGCGTGGCATCAAATAATATACATTGTTCATTACCAATCGGTATGCTGAAATAGAAATTGCTTAACCATGAGCTACTAGCACAACTTGAGCAGTCCTTTGCTTGGACACTTACCAGACATTTCCTATAGTCGACAAACTACAGTATAAGCTCTTAGTTCTCATAGTGCTGGACGCTAGTCATTAATATGACCATATTATTGTTTGAATTACATCATAAATATTATTTTAACAGCAATTTTGACAAATAAATTTTTATTTTGTATAATATGCATATCAATTATAAAACATTATAGTTATACATATTAATTACATTTCTTAAACATAGTATTTAGATTTAAGTCATCAGTCTTTTTAATTTTTGTAATCTATGCAGCTGAAGTTTTGCTTTTCTTTTTTTATTTAACACATTTGTATGCTGATTTAAATATTTCATACGAATAAGTACTCTTTGTTTTACATACGTCTCAACAACAGGGTTATACTTTTCTTCCATTTCCATTCTCTCAATAATTTTTTTTGACAAATTTTTAACAACTTTAGGTCCCTTAGGAATTTGTTGTTTGATAATCTTTTTTGAATAATCTTTCAATTCTAAAAATATGAGTTTTAAAATTATGACTAGGTAGTATCAGCCCACCATAGGATAAATGATTTATCCACGACGGCATAGTGTAATCATGACCATTTTCGTTTTGAGCAGCATTATACCGAGTTGTAGTTGAACCCAATTCTGGAAATTGTAGTTTATATTTTTTTGCAACCCAGCCTGCCAAATATTCCATTGCATCTCTACTCATTTCATTTTGATCTTTGCTGATAATCTCTGAAAAACTACTTTCACTTATTGTATCTGTACTACTTTCAATGTCTTCATGTTTTTCTTTTACAATATCTAATTTCAAATCGATTTGTTTTAATGACTTTGCTATTATAAACTCTTCATTGTTTTTGTCAGTGGTATTAGCTTGTTTGGACACTATACCAGGATTTTTTCCTAAAATGATCATTCGTAGTCTGAACAAGGCGTTCAAAGGAGAAGGGTGATCATTAAGTCCACCTGTTGATCGTAGTTGCGAAAACAAGTTTTCAAGGGCGTCTTGGTTAATTTTACTTGTTAGTAAATATTTGAACCCAGATTGTTGTAAAATTTTGAAAAGTAGTTTTGTGCCGTTAATATGCATCAAAATAGCTTTTTGGAATATTAGGAGCCCAAATTTTCCAACACATCTCATGGATAAAAATGTTTTATACATTTTGTCAAGCAATGCATCTTGTTCTTCTAAGAAAAATCCATAAGGTGCTTTAAAGGGAGTAGTTTTATTATTAGGATGTGACACATTAATTAAATCAAACCAATTATTAACCAATTCAATGAAATTAGAAGTGTCTTCAAGTAATCTGATATCTTCTATAGGTTTATAGTGTATAAGTGCTGTAGCAGTTGTATGAGATAGCAATTGTGTAGCCAAGCGTACTTTTTGTCTTTGAGGACCTTCACAAGATACATGTTCTGGTGTAAGTTTTTGACAAACACTAAGTTCTGTTGTAGTCTTATTAATGAGCGCCTCTAATGGTTTTTTGTTAATAACTGAATTATTTACCAGAAATCCTGTATCTAATAACCAATTTCGTACAAGTTTTAAAATATGAGGACCATCAGGTATGTACACTATTTCCCTTCCTGTTGGCAAAGAAAATACAGGATTTTCATAGTTAATATCAAGAGCCCTCCACAATCCGACATTTCCACCACCACAGTCACTGACAACACAAACTGTTTTAAAGCCAATATCATCCATCTTTTTAACAATGTCAAAAAGGATCTCTTTGGTCATTTTTTGATCGAATCCAGCATAAACTGGTTGTTTCCATTGACCTGCAATCCCTCGAGCCATAACAACTTGCAATTGATTATGGGGACCAATAACTTCATCCTTTAAAACATCATACTCCATGGTACTAGAAACTTTGATTTCATCAAACATTAAGACCGTACACTTTTCATAGCACTGCATGTCGTCGCCATTAAGTTTCATTATTTTGAGCACATCTTCAAGTACACCATTCCTCATATCAATACTCTTTGCCCACCGCTGAAGTGACGATAACCCTATAAATTATTAAACATATATTTTAATATTTTTTAACAAACAAATTATAATCACATAACATATAAATATGCATTATTTACCAGGCAAAGGATAATTCAGCTCATTCTTGATGTAAACATATGAACGTTTAATAAAATACCTGAGGGTAAATGCTTTTGATATTTCTTCTCTAGACCAATTAACCCGTTTTTTTTTTTTCATTATTAAGTCCAACTGATTTTTAGTAAACACCGATGACAGTAACTTTTTGGCCTGTGTTTCAATTGTTCGTGTTTTATATTGAGAAAGAGACTTTATTTGCTTTTCTGTTTTTTTTAACTGTAAATTTACAGCGTTCAAATTTTTCTCCAAATTTTTTATTTGAAACCTAAGATTTTCGTTTATATTTCTATTGTTTACATCAGCTTCTTTAAGCAAAAACAGTTCTTTTTTTACATTTTTATGTTCTTGTAGTAGTACATCATACAAATATTTATAATCGATGGACTGAGTTGGCTCATTTTCAAAATCAGTTGTTGAAATATTTGATGATGACTGTACATCAGAACCGACATCTAAAGCAACAACCTCATTATGAACCTATAACAATAAATTAGGTACCACATTATATGTATTAATTTTATTATTATAAAGAAGATTTTTCTATTATTATTTGTGAACAGGGAGATTTAAGTATGAAATATGTAATGGACAATGGTAAGGCATTTTATTGAATATTCACTAAAAGACAATATATTTATATTAAAACTAAATAATTTAGAATAAACAAATAATAAGGTACTTCTGTAGTTTATAATATAAAATTAATTTAGCTACTTTAAGTGATTAAGAATATATGTGTTATCAGTAACTTGTCCCATGTCTGGAATTATATTTACTTTTAAAATAATAAACTTTTCTAATTATATACATAAAAGTACTTTAAATAATATATTAAAACATCAATTACTTGTTTTTTTAATCTTAATTCCATTCTATTTCTACGGTTTAATGTTGACGTAGAAACTTCATCAGTTTGGGTATGATCTACTGGTAAATTAAGAGATGGAATGGCATCAGGCTTAAGGTATCGGACTCTAAGAGTATATCCTAAAAAGTTTACAATAATTTCATATTATAAATATTGTTTTGCTTCAATTTCATGTGTGGTTGGGGTATATTGAGTGAGGAAGCTTATAGGTTTACAGATATTGTGTCTACAGACATGAAATAAAAAAGTAACTAATAAAAAGTAAAAGTACATAATTTGAAAAACAACAATACATTCTCAGCCACACTTTGAATCTAAAATAAAATTGTATAGTTACCTAGGAGTTCGGCTTTTAAATCACGGACATAATCTTCAGCAGTAAAATGGTCAGACATATGAAAGATGAATTGGGATTCCAATCATCCTTTCTTCTACATTTCAATACCCATTTTTTTTTACACTCTAGAGCCTTTGGAAATCTAAAATAAATTATTATCTTAGTATATTAAAAAAACAATTTCAAGCCTTCAAGGTAAAAATTTGAATATTTTTGTCAATCAATGTTACATTACTGAGGATTAATCATTATTCTTAACTCGCAAAGATTAAAATATATAATATTATTTTGTAAAATAAATAGATTTAACATAAAATGACGTATGGTTTCCTTAAATTTTATAGTTGAGTAAGCTAGTTCCTTTAAAAATAATAATAGTTACCTGTGAAACGATATATCTTTTCCAAGATTTTTTACTTTTCCCGAATAGTAAATACATGACGCTACAGCGCAACATGAACCACCTTTGGTCTTCGAAGCCATAAATATTACTATATACTAAATAATATTACAAAATAGGTAAACATTAAAATAAAATACTTCTTACAGAGCATACAAGATTTTTCGATCAAACACGGCATTAAGTATAATGTATAAACTATTAGCAGTGATAGCGATTAGTGAATTTTTGTACGACGGGTGACGTCACGGACAATTTACCCCCACTCCCATTTTTTCATAATTTTTGAATTGAGGCAACCTCTATTATCTATAAACCTTGGGCTAAAGCCACGGGTAGTATCTTTGATCTATTATTTAATCGTGACTATGACAATGTATAATAATATTATTATCATTATTATCCATTACAAATATTATCTATGAACCTTAGGAGTTTAGGTCTATAATGGTTTGCAAAATAAATAGGTAAACATACAATTTAAGAAACTATATTAAATCGAGGTAGATATAAAAACAAAAAACAATAATACGAGCAATGGGGGGGGGGGCTTCAGCCCCTTAGCCCCCCCTGCGGACGCCACTGTATTAGAGGAACAGCCATCAAATGTTAAACTAATAATATTGACACCAGTGTTAGACAACACATGTAATGCATGAGTGCATGACGAACAAGCTCTACTTTTTGTGCAACTATTTGCTAAAAAGTAACCAATTGGCAATTTCCGATTTTCGTTAATAGAAACAACTAGAAAAACTAAACAATATTTAGCTACTGCTAAACTGTCATTATCTATTCCACTTCCCATGTCAACTCTACCATAATATTTACCAGTAGTTCTATCATACTCTAGATGTTGGCGTATTGCCATTCCATCCATTATTAATGCACAGAACACAGGATCTGATGAATTCCTCACTTTCAGTTCTAAAAGTTTCAATGATTCTATTGTGAAGCCTGGTTCAGCATTGAAATGACTATACCATTTTCTAAGCGTGCGCGGATGTGGTAATATTGTATTAAATTGATCTCTGACATATTCATAAGCTTTTCCAGAAAAAAAGTGCAAAGACAAAGCAAATTGGCGAACAGCAGGACTATACCTTTTGGGAATTATTTTACCCAATTTTTTTTTTGTCCAATTAGTAACAAGATCTTTGTGCTTACCAAAAGATTCTAAAATTGAAACACTAGTCTCTTCATCAACAAAATTTTGATTTTTGATGTCATTAATTATGGTTTGCATATTGGCAATTTTTTTATTTTTTCGTCGTATGGTTTGTTGTAAGCTCTTTAATTTCTTGTTTTTTATAACTATCTCTTTGGAGAGTTGCCGAATGCTACGTTTCAAACATGTACGACGTGATGTGTCCTCAATAGCGATTTCACTGGCAGCCATTAATGTAGCTTCATATTTGTTCTAAATAAAATTAATAATAGTTAACAGTAATAATAATAAATTCAACATAGGTATATTTTAATTTAACAATTAATATGTATTTATTTATTTATTTAACGCCAAACGGCAATTTTTATAGATACATTGTAATAGTTAGTAGATTAACAAGATATGATGATAATGAAATAATATACATGGAAAACATAGTTATAATTATAGACTTAAGTTTAGACTTAAGTTTAAACTTATACTAAGCAGTGTTCAGTTAAAAAGAGTACCTACATGCTAAGGTAAAATAAAACTAAAGACAAAAACATTCAGTAGAGATAAATAATAACATAGTTAGCTACAGATCAGGAGCTGTTAAGTAGGTGGAGCATTCTATCTAATGGATTATTATGGGAGAAATTAGTACGGTGAGAGGAGACAAGGTATAGAGAGTGATTTCTAGTGAAATGCACAGGAACGTGGAAAGAGATAGAGGACAGAAGGTTCGGGGCATATATTGAGCCGTTAAGGAGAGAGGTGATGAATGAGAGGTCAGCATCTATACGGCGAGAAGCAATATTACCATCATATTTTCATCAAGTTTGTCAGAATCAAATGAAGATGTTGATGGCTCATTCACTGAATGTACCTCTTTGGCTTCTATATTTTGTATAGGCAACTAAAAAAATTAAAATAGGTATATTATACTATTATAAAATACATAGTATGAAAATATATAAATATTAAATAAAAATGTCTACACAGGTTATTTAATTTTAAATTTAAATTAAAATACTATCATTACCGAAACATTTTTATTTTGCATAGGTATTACATTTGTCAATATAACTGCTAACTTTTGACGAAGTAGATGTTACATCCAAAGGAAACACACCTAATTCTACATCACTTATTGAAGATACCTAGAGTAACCCTATACCTAAGAGTTTTATCAAAATGTAAAATATCATTTTTTTTATTTATTGTTTCAGGTACTGTTACTGGTACAGTTGTAAACTTGCATATTTTATTCGACCGACAACAATTGATGGAAATACATGTTTGTATAATAACTTTCTATGTTGTTTCATTACAAAACATGATTTCTCAAAATGTAATGAACAAATTACACTATATTTGGTCACGTCTTTTGGATTTAGATAGTTTTCTACTGAAAAGTTATCCCACTTTTCTCTAATATTATCTTTAGTAGGAAACCTGAAACAAACATTACACTATATTTTCAAACGTCTAGATATATATTTTAATCTTAACCATACCTGTGAAAAGATATATTAGCAGATTTAGAATTTATCTCTGTTCTTCCTCATACAAGACAACTAGGCATTATGAGAATTACTACTTTAAAACACGTCTAGGCAAACATAAAAAATAATGAAATCGTAAAATGTAAACCGTATAGTTTAATCGTGGTAAAACCAGAGTCATAAATCGTAATTCGTAATCGTTAACTGATGCAATGTCGCAATCATAGAGTATTACTATATCGACGTAATCGACGGTAACACCCATGCATGTATTGCTAATACGGGTTCAATCGTAAAACGAGGTTGTACGGACAATTCAACACGACCTCGAACATTAACAATAGGCGCGCCATCTAAACCAGTCACCGGGGAAGTCCACCGCGCACATTTTAAGCCTAGATGGTCAGCACACGTCACCGTAATTGCACTAATTTACGATGCCGCCCGCATGGTGTGCCACGACATCGCCTTATCGCGTGCGTGCCTGTACTTTGACCTACATATTTTATTGGCCCAGTGGTCAGCGCTCAAACATATAAAACATAGTTTCTTTTCTCGCAACCAACGTACACGGTCTTCAACCGACCACGACTTAATGCGATTGCATGAGTCTAACGCGTGAGATTCGGCACAACATGGGCATGCCTTACTCGAGCCTGTAGTTAAAAACGACGATGTAACATTGAGAGGACCCGCCTTACGAACCCGATCTCCCCCCTTACGGGATTGAGTGCTAAATGAGCCGGGTTTTACTAACGGTTTTCGTGGCTGAACTGGTCGCGTTTGCTTTACGCTGCTGGTCCCTGACATTTTCTAATACTACTTAGCGCGACTTCACAAATTCTAATAAATCGTTCATTGACGGGAAATCTGTCAAAGTGTTTGTTTCAAATAATTTACGGGTATGTAACAGCAGCCTTCGAAATGCAAGCGTAAATAGAATAAAGGAACCTACGGTCGGGATTCTGAGTCCGTCCAGTAATGACATGCACTCACTAAACACGCACGTAAAGTTGCTTAGTTCTGCCAATGACTCCTGGGTATACGACGGAAAATCAAACAACTTGTCCACAAACGCCTGCCTCGAGGTTTTTGTGGTTGCATACGCATTTGTGATTCAATAAAATTCAATGTAATTCAATGTAATTAATTTAGTCTGTTCTAGGTGTCAAATCTGTTTTTCTATGAAACTGTATAACTCTTAATATGCCTTCAAATAATCGTTTTGGAAGTAAACAACGTGTAGGTCCAACTGAAAAAAGTGTTAGACAATTTTATAAAATCTTAAAATTATTTACTTTATTATAAAATTAATCTATTTTTTGTAAGTAACCTATTCAATTTATCTGTGTTGATTCTAGAATCAATAGCTATTTGTGGAATAGTACCTTCATCAAAGTCATTAGTAATAATCTCAATAGACATTTTAGCTTCATTTTCATAAGTGTAATCCATATGTGAAAAATATTATGTCCATATGTGGTAAATAATTTTACACAATGTCGGAAAAACGTTACAACAGTTATCGTCGGCGGAGCTACGTAGCGAGTGCACGGCCCGCGGACTCAGCGCGTCCGGTTCGAAGCCGGATGTGTAATGTGTACCCAGCACCTTAGGGTAAGCGGACTAGTCCCCGAGAATGTGAGGTTTGTAACAGTGCAGCCGGTAATCGTAGGATTACAGGGCAGTACTGAACAACAACAACACACGACATCAGCGCTGGAAAACACGAACGCCAGCCAGATTTTCGGACAACCGTCTGGGGGAACTTTGACAAGCCCAACAGCAAGTCAAAAACCAACAGACAACCGGTCAGAAATCTGAGGCAGGGCCAGTCCGCACAACCTTTAAAAACCGACATTTTCGAAACCGCGGCGAAACAGCTACAACAGTTAAAATTAATGTTGCCACAAGCGAACGACTCAACATCGTTCGAGGACCGTTTAGGGGCATTGGAAGCGAGCATGACGCGGTTCCGTGTATTGGTAGTGGTTTCAGGAAAA